TAATAAGAAGACATTTCACTTGTTGATTGATTGTGATAGTTCATGGGCAACTGAGGTTTTGTGCATAAATTCTTTTCCTACACCAATATCTTTAAGAGTTCTACCTACCCTCTCTTCCAGCCAATTTAGTATTTTTGTTTTAATATTTAGATCTTTAATCCATTTTGATTTTAGTTTAGTGCATGGTGAGAGATATAGGTGTAGCTTTAATATTCGGCAAGTTGAAAACCAGTTTTTCTAGCACCATTTATTAAAAAGGCTATCTTTCTTCCAGTGAGAGTGTTTGGCTCCTTTGTCAAAGATGAGGTGGCTGAGTGTGTCTGGACCTGTTTCTTCATCTTGAGGACTTCTTTAAACACAGGAATATAAGTGATGATCCTCACTGGGAATTCTGCATTTTGGGCACATGCACCTAGGCAGAAAATTCACCTTGTTGTACCAGTGCACATTGGCAGCTCAGGGTTCTGCCACAATTCCTCTTTTTATGCTTCATCCATTTACCAACCAATATGCAAACTCAGAAGGATACACACACCCCCTTTAAAGGCCAGTCTTGCCTGCAAAAGTTCAATGATGCTTCCATGATTAATCTCCAACCAACAATTATCTCAGTGTCACTCATTTTACTGCCAAAAATGATATTTCTTCTCTCTGGTGCATAGACTTGAAGTTAGAGTTAAGAATAGTATTAGTTTTGCATTATTTTTCAGAAATGAGTGCAGTTCTGGTTTGGTCTGAGACACAGGTCCTTTTCACTGGTTATCCCTTCATTTCCTGTATGATTGTGTCATCACTACCTACAGGTACACTTATCTAAAAATACTGTGCCATTAAAAAACAAGAATAGCACCATGAGATAAGTATATATGTAATTCATTTAGCTGAGGACTTGTGTGTGCTGTTAGATCAGAAAAATAATATTGCTTACTCAAAACTCACTTTGTGTTCAGATTTTAGTTCTAATTGCATTCTTGGGTTTTAACAAGAGGCTCATTACAGTACAGCATTATGCAATGGCAAATTAATGGAAATTCCATTATGGGAATATATCATCTTATCAGTATAAGGAAGTGCTCAAAATTGTGCAAATCAATCAAATAAAAAAGAATCTTGAAGGGACCTTTCTTGCCAAATTTGAGAAAATCTGAGACTCAAACTGAAAATGACTTTATAGATTACTTTTTGAATAAATTAAGAATCCATTTGACCTTTGTTGAAAGAATGAGAGAGAAGGAAAAGATCTAACTTACACTGAAAGTTCAACTAACAAGTGCACAACGTATAACGAAATTATGACATCAGTCTAACAACTACTGCATTAAAGCCATCATGAGTGCTAAGACTGCTGGCTGGAGCAGCAACATACCAGTGTTATCTCAACACAACTTACTGAAATATTTACTAGCATCAAAGACTGAAATAATATTGTGGTGTTGAACCCACAATGGATGCAGAGGACACCAAATGATGGCAGCTGACCTGAAGCGCTGCTGGGTTGTGCCTGGAGCTCAGTGTCTGTCCCTGTGCTCTCACCAAGGCCTCTACCTCCACTAAGCACGCAGGAACATCAGAAAATCTCAAATTAGAAGGACAGGATGAATTGTCCCATGCTTTCAATCTATCACTGCAGTGAAATACAAAAAAAGACTCAGAAACTTTTAGCGGTTAAAGTTCCCATAGAGCCCAGACATTGGAAAGTGTCGGTGTATATCATGGTTTATATCCCTTGGCCTAAAGGATATTACTGGTACAGTTGTTGATATCAGAATATATTCTAAATGGTAAGAGTATTGCATGAGGATTAAGCTTTGCTTTTATTTACTGAGTTTGATTAAATATAACATTTTGTTTTTATGAACTAAATGTTGAAGAATTCAGGATTAAAAAAGAAATAGTCATGATATATTAATTATTTAATAAAAACATTTTTGGACAAAAGAATAAATTACTAGCAAGACACTATATACACAGTGTTTGAAATAATGTAAAACTATACTGCATTATTTCTGCATTTATGGTCATAAATGTCCATTTTATAAAAATTCCCTTAGAAGGAAAAAGTACCATATTCAGGCAGGGAATGGGACAGAGACAGAAATTCAGGCAGGGAATTGTGGGGTACTACCCAGAGAATGCTCATCCTTAAAAGTTATTTTAAATTTTGTAAATAAGATCCTGGCAAGTGCCAGGTCCTGAGTTTGATCCCTGGTACAAAACAACAACAACAACAAAAACCAAAAAACAAAGAAACAACAAACAAAAAATGGAATAAAGTGAGGCAAACTGTAGAGATTTGTTTGGAAGGGATACCAAAAGTGCACCAGTTTCCAACAGCACTTTACGTTTATTTTACATGATTTACATGCTCCATTGTTTAAAAAAATATTGCCTTTAAGGAAAGATTGATTAAAGTTCCATGGTTGAATCTCAGTGATGTTTTCATCTGCATCTCTCGAATGACCAGTGATGTGGAACATTTTTTCATATATTTTCTTGCTGCTTTTACTTCTTTGTATGAGAAATGTCTGTTCATTTCGGATGCCCATTTTTGGATCGGGTCTTTATATTTGGGGGGACTGATTGTTTTGAGTTCTTTATATATCCTTGATAATAGTCCTTTGTCTGAGGTACAGCTGGTAAAAAT